AGAAATGATTTTTCCACTTGTACAAATACTGTTACTTGGCCCGTAGGCTTCTATGCGTGTATGTATCTATAGACGAAGTGCCTAAGGCTGGGTTCACAATATGTCGTATTGGCCCGTCGCGCCGTGCCACATTGCAAGGATAGACTCCATTTCTATCTTCGCGGCAGGACGCGACGTGGCACGGCGCGAAGAGCAATGTGCCAAATTGTGAACCTAGCTCAAGGCTGGGTTCGACATACGTCGCATTGCCCTGTCGCGCCGTGCCATGTCGCATTGTGCCGCAAAGAAATTGGACTCTATTCTTGCGACACGGAACTCGACACGGTGCAATGCTGCTACGTAGTGAACCTAGCCTAACATACTGCAATCCTACATCCGTCCAAAACATTTCATGCTTTCATTGACCCTCTCAAAGAAGCTTACTGCTAACAGTGCATTAGTATAAAGCAATAATATGCGATGTACGACCTTCTTGTGGACAATGAACATGGGTATCTTGGTGCCGTCTTTGCTGGGGTAGAAGACCTGGTGTGTCTCGTACAGAGAACCGTCAAACCCTTTCACCTCGATTTCACGAAACACCTGCCACAGCAGTTAGAATAGCACCCTTTATACCTCTTTGTAGGTTCTGGTGTTGCTATATACATTTGCATTGAGCTTGTATTGAACTTATCCCTAATGGAAAGGTTCTCATAAATCAAATGCTACGGTGTTATAGATCCTGCACACTATGCAGGACTCTTACAGATCCCCACTGGAAAAGTTCTCACAAATCATTATACAAATTCTGGTTTTACACTCTATACGGAGCTCTTAAAACAAGGATATCCTAGTGTTAAGATACATAGAAGCATAATGGATTAGCGAAGCACCTGAAGGTACGATAAAATTGTATTGTATAAACAGCGCCGTGATGCTTTATATCTGCAAAAAACGTTTGCACTGTGCTTGGTAATGCGGCTATATAGCAATACATACACTGGGCCTGAGACCCTCCCCAGCCATATCACAGTGGTAGATGATGCCGGGAGTGAGGAACGAGGTGAAGGAGTAGAATATCTCCGTGTCCTTCTTCCTCCCAGAGTAGCCTGTGACTGAGCCCATGTCCAGCGGAAAGTTCTGCACAAAACTTCCATCCTCCAACTTGTGCAGGAGCAGTACAGACTGTATATACAAGACAGACAGAGAGAAACGTTTTAGGTCTCTCTGATTGCACCAATGTTCATACAGTTTAGCCCTTTGAACGCCATGGGTATCTCCTTAAACCAGCAGAAATTGTATGTATAACATATTAACGCCTAGTATCATAGCCATACATAAATTCTTATGGGGCTCTGGGCATATATATTATATGCCAGTGAGGATTGAAAACGAATGTGGCAGTATCTAAGGCCTAAATTAAAATATTTACTAGGGTTTATTTTTATCCTTAGGCCTTCATAATAATATTGCCACATTCCCTTTAAGCTTGAATCTTGAAACACCCGGCACACCTTGGGACATTGGAATACTGACCTTAACGTCTCTAAGGTAACAGAGGACCAGTCTGGTTTGGTTCACACAGGCGGCCCATTCCAGAACGTCTTTATCGTGTTCCGGTACCAGAGTGGTCCAGTCCGCCTGCATTCATGCATGGTGTGTGTATGTGTGGGTGGGGGGGATATAAGTGGGGGGTTTTAATACTCACTCACGCAAAATAAATTTCAGTATCTTTATGCACATTCCAAGCTCGATTTTGTCAATTTTACAGAGGCAGACAGGTATTGGTGCACTCTTAGATCTGTGCCTACAACCTTCTCCATGCAGTGTTGGTTGTTACACGCTTCACTAAGCCTCCCTTATTATTAGAATCAGTGTATCCATTTATACTCCCTCTTATCTACCCCTCCCTCAAAACAGCTTATACCGTACTTATGAACCAGCTTATGAATTGTACTGTACTTATGAACCCGGAGGGGTATATGTAGTGAAACACCAACTATGCATTACTACACAACCTCGTGACACACAGACATTTCATGTACACCAAGCTATTCAGTAAATGCCATATAAAGTTCCAGTTCGAAGGTGTATAGCACAGCACAACACACACTAGATCAGCCACTAAAGGTACCGCAAGAGGGTTTTATAGTCTTCATAGAACACAAAGGATGGAGTACTGTGCTTATATGTGGAGTATATACCGCATGGATGCATTGTGGAGTATACGTATGTGGGATAAGTATGCTTAGGGTTTTATACTCTATGAAGCACACATAGTAATGATCTCCACACATCAAAGTAGCATTATGCGCCCAACAGTGGCGTGCCTCGTGTTTAGAACCATTAGCAACACTCAAACATGTACACAGCTATACGGAGGAGGCAGTTAGCACACAAGTGAGTGCCATAATTACGAAATCTAATCGATTGTGTGACAATGTCAGGTGACGTCTCGGCCTCCACAGCATTCAATTCAGAAGGTTTTCAACGGCGAATGCGAAGACATGGGAGTAATTGTAGCACGTCCGCTAACAAGACAAGGTAATGGACACTCGTGCTGCTAACACTACGTATACACTTTGTATCGAAACGAGAAGCTTAGCCTTAGCAGGTGTATAAAAGAAGGTAGACTGAGTTTTATTCAGGGAGCTTAGCTGCTGAAACGACGCATATTGTCAATCCCGAAGGAACACAAAGAAAGGTAAGCATCGACTATAAAATCAGCAATTGGAAGTAACTGTGTGTAAAGAGAGAAGGAAAAAATCTTTTCTTCTATAATTTCATGCCAGAAATGCCTGCCTCACTCGTTTGCCTCTCGGTTGCCCTGGCAACCATCGTCCTGGCAACCACGACCAGTGGGTTGCTGACGTCAAATGAGAAGAAGGATATCCTGAGGGCGCACAATCACTTCCGTAGAAGTGTGCAGCCCCTGGCAACCAACATGATAAAATTGGTGAGCAGTTGTATTTTTGAGTGATATTACTTCCATTTAGCTTATAGCACCATGGTCGCAACTACAGACCTGAAGAAAAAAGTTTAGTTTAGAATAGTCTTGCAAAAGTAGCTTTTGAGCTGGCGCAGCTTGAACAAGCTGATATGCGCAATTGTTTTGCAACAACACCAGATTTTGAGTAAAACTTGGATAATGATTTGCAATAAATAAATTTGTGACTTACACACGGTAAATCATGTGTCAGAAACGTTTAATTATATTCTGATGGTTGCTTTCGAGCTGGCGAATCTTCAACGTGCAGATATGTGCACATGTTTAGTACACCGATCCCCGATAATAATGTGTGACTTACACTAAGTATATAATCACATGCTTATCACGTGTATGTTGGCAGGTGTGGGACAGTGAACTGGCGCGACAGGCTCAGTACACGTCTGCCCAATGCGAGTACATGAGGAACGAGCACAGGCACGACCAGTCAACCCAGTATGACTACGTCGGAGAAAACATTGCTGCCACCGGTGAGTCGTAAATTTGTCGACAGACTACGAAACTAAAATCGCACAGCAGTAGGTTTGGAAAAATGACGACAAAACTAGCCCAAACTGGCAAGAGTTATCTTTGAAAGGCGGCATGTTTTTGGAAGTTCGTGCACATCCGCCCAATTCCAAACTCTTTCTTGGTCCCATACGCCGGGTTAAAATGCATTGCAGGACCCTGTGACGTGACGCAATAAGAAGTCGCACGAAACTGGTGAACATGCAGAGTTGCATCGCGTTTGGCCCTCAGCGACGTCACAGGGATTTAAAAACTTTTTGCAACGCAGTAAAATTTCACGCAATGTCAGATCGTGTCACCGCCGCAGGCTCAACTGAACCAAGTTGTATTCATAAGCATCTTGTCCCCTTTACTCATCTTCCCTCACCACCTTTTTTGTCCTTGTCACCCTGCCACCCTGCCCTCTCTCCGACAGGTAACTACTCCTACAATCTGACACTGATGGTACAAGAATGGTGGGAGGGAAGACAGTACTATGACTACTCTACAACCTACTGTGGTGACGACGACGACGACGACAACAGGAGGAAGAGGGAGGATAGGGAGGAATTTGATGACTGCCAGAGTTACACACAGGTACATACACAGAGACTTATATAACTAGAATCGTAACACATCTTTGGAACTGAAGTGACTACCCAGAACTGTGTCCCGTTCACGCTTAAAACCGTCTCTCTTACCATCCCTAGCTGGTGTGGGCTCAGACGAGTAAGGTTGGTTGTGGAGCTTTCAGATGCAGTGAACTTCGAATGTACGAGGATGGAGACTATGGGGCAACGCTACTGGTGTGCAACTACGGCCCAGGGTGAGCATCAATTAGACTCGCACTGATGAAATCTTCCAACTTTTCTGTGCTAATTTTCTATATTTTCGCCTCCTATCTCCCTTTCTCGTCCTTCTCCATCCCCTGGTTTATACCTATCCCTCTGCCACCTCCTTTCTTCCCCATTTCTTCTTCTTACAACCCTCTCTTTTTCTCCCACCTCTCTCGTCCCTTCCCTCCCACAACAGAGGGGCCTACCAAGGCATACAGCCGTACAATACAGGTTCATCCTCGTGCTCCAATTGCCCATCTGGCAAGAGCAACTGCAACAACAAACTGTGCTGTAAGTAAACTTATGTAACTGCAACAACAAACTGTGCTGTAAGTAAACTTATGTAACTGCAACAACAAACTGTGCTGTAAGTAAACTTATGTAACTGCAACAACGAACTAACGAAGTAAACATATGCATACAGTACCAACCATAGTATATACCCTTAGTTGGTGTTGGTGGATGATACCTTTAGTTGTACCAAAGTGTACTACTAGTGTACATATTGCGGACCTAATTTTCCAAGCGCAGTTGTGGGGGAAATTACAGTCAGCATAGATACACAGGCAGAGCCTTTTAAAAGCCTCAAAACTTCGTCTTTAGGGGCAGCAATGATTCTGCGCACTACCTGCATTACGTGAGCCCGCGTAACTTGGTGGCAAATAAAGGATTTAACTTTTGCAGACAACTTGTTCTGCTGTTTAGATGGTATCCGCCCACAAAAATGTGGAGAAAAACCTTTCGCGGTTGCTTCTGAAAAAAATCAAAATTTGCAATTAAACGTAACTTCTTTATTGCTGCCAAAATTACCACCACAAGTTTAACTCTTTTTTCCTCTATTCCCCATTACTCTCAGCCGGAGTTCCGTCGACCACTGTTTACTCGTGGCTACTCGTTGCCATGGCGATACTGGGTACAGCTTTCCAGCAGATATCATGAACAAAGACGACGTCGTCATTTTTTCATCTCGTTTAAAGCAGACGTGACACTTACAACAGCAGGTTTTAGGAGCGCACTTTTTTTGATTGCCATGTTCTATCATAATTTTGAACACGATTATTATCAGTGGATTAAAATTGCACAGAGAAATGGCTTATGGATGGCATCTGAAGTGTGGGATATTGGCACCCACTACACTGCTCAAATAATTGAAGGTTCACATGATCAGTCACATGATCAATCACATGACTAGTAACATGGGCACAGACCTTGTCAGGTTTGGTTATGTCGATATTGATGAGGCGATAGCGACAGGCATCTAGATCAGTTTTTAGCGTGAAAACTGTCCCCTGGTTGCAGATAAACTGCGGGAAGTGGGGTGGGAGAAGGACGGAGGGAGCGAGAAAGAAGAGAGAGGTAGGATGGAGGGAGGGAGAAAGAAGAGAGAGGTGATAGGAGAGGATTGGAGAGACATAGAAGAGAGGAGGGGTAGGACTGGGAGAGGGAAGAGAGAGGTAGAGGGAGAGGAAAGAGGAGAGAAGCGAGAGATATAGAGGGAGGGGAGAGAGAAGAGAGAGACGGTAGGAGGAGGGAGAGAAGAAATGAGAGGGTAGGTAGAAGGGAGGAGAAGAGCAGAGAGAGTGTAGAGG